TCAGTGTTACTCTTTGATATTACTTGTGAAATTTACTACTGATTTTTGAGTGAAAAAAGTTTGTACACCTCATGTTTCCAGTGTAGAAGATTCCCTGATGTATTTCTGTAGTCGTGTGTTGAACGTGTCCTTATGTGTTCAGGGTTGGCTCCCGCAGTCACTAGTGAACAAGGCTCTTCCTCGAGCACAAGCGGACTTCACTAAACACCTGCGGCGCCGGCTGGCCGCTCAAAACTCAGAAAACAGCAGATGCTGAGAGTCAGACATCAACACTGACGACGATATAGGAACACAGACATGCAACATACACCTCAGAGTAGAACTACGATGAAATTGATCTGACAATATAAAATGACAATAAAAAATATTTTTCACTGGAGTGTTATTTCAATATCATTTTAAGTAGATTTTTTACATTTTTATATTTGAAGTTTTTTAATTTTATATTTCTGTTTTCATTTTAGTTAAAACTATTAAAGGGGTCATATGATGTTGCTAAAAAGAACATTATTTGGTGTATTTGGTGTAATGAAATGTGTTTCTTTTAGAAGACCAAACAAAGTAGTTTCGCTTTCACAACGAAACACAGCGTCTTCACGGCATGGCGGCGGCAACAATACTACAGCGAGAATAAAAGTTACGCCTTCTTTCTTTGCGTGAACATTTGGGCGGCGTTATGCAAATCTTCCCACATAGTGAGGTAGATATGTGGGGGCGTGTTAGAATGAGCCGTTTTAGGTAGGTGTGGCTGACTCTTAACTTTTATAAAGAATATCTCTTTGGATTTGAGACTTTAGTCTTTGCAACTTTACAGATCTTCTTTATGCACCAAGAGCTTGTAACACTCCAAAGAGAAAGGAACAATTGAAATCGCATCATATGACCCCTTTAATGTAATGTTACTAGCTTATATATATATATAATTTAAAGTAATTACGTTTTTTAAATTGTCTCTTTTAGATAACTATAATAACTGTTTCATAGTAATGCTTTGTTTTTGTCGCAATTACAATTCTGAGATGTAAACGCTAATGAAATCAGACTTTTTTCTTGGAATTCTGAGTTTAAATCTTGCAGTTCTGTTTTTGTATCTTTTGCGGCTTACCTCACAATTTCCCTTAAAACAACAACAACAACAACAATGGGAAGTTATTAAAGTAGATAAACAACTGCTCATGAAATTGATTTGACCACATAAACAAAAAAAAAACAAAAAATATTTCACAGCGTTATTTTAGTATCATTTTATTAATTTTGTAAAATTAGTTTTCATTTTTCACATTTTATTTTATTTTTTATATTTCTCTTTTAGTATTTTTTTATTTAAATTTTTTTATAAATGTCTATTTAGTTTTAAATAAATATCCATTTTTAGTTAATTTAGTACATCAAGTCAATCTAAATGAAAATGAGAAATGCCGCCTTGGCGAACAGCTGAAAGAAGTTTATTTCAAGTAACATTTTTTAGTTTTAGTTTTAGTTAACTATGATAACCCTGATTCTGTATTTTGTGCCTGATTTTGTGCTTCATATACTTAAACCAAAAATGAGAGTTTAAATGAGCTGCAGTGATGGAAACAAGACAAACGGCAGCATACAGGTTTGGGTGAATAATGGCCGAATGAATTGTTTTTTATTAAATATTTTATTAAAAATAAAATAATTAAAAATGAAGTAATCATTTTGACTTTCTCGAATAAATATGTGCAACTAACTCAAATCGCATGAAAGTTTAAAATGTTCAAAATTATTAAAACTGCAGATTCACAGTGGCGGCACAGAAAAAGTTTAACATTTTCATTGATATTTGCGTTATGGTTATAAACGATGAATTGAATTCATGAGTTGGTCTCTGAGCTCTGCTGCTGGCTGATATTACAGATGCACTTTTAAACATTAAAAATCAATGCAAACAAATCTATACTGAACAGCTATGAAACAACTCGTTTCTGCAGAGATGAATGGAGATTGATTAGTTTCACATCCGTCTGTATTTTGACCAATTCTTTTACAATCTATCTTCCTTCCAGATGTCATAATCAATCAAAACCAGTTCAGATCTGCTGGTGCAATAAAACCCAGACTTACTAGTACACACTTAGATACTCTTATTTTATATTAATTCATATTTGTTTTATTAATGCATTCAAATCGTAATGTCGTAATGCCCTGTAAATAACCAATTTTCTATGGAAACCATAGAAACTCACAATTCTGACTTTTTTTCTCAGAATTGAGTTTATATCTTGCAATTGATTCATATTTATATATAAATAAAAAAATCAGAATTGAGAAAAAAAGTTGCAATTACCTTTTCATTTATCTCATGGCTTTCATTTTAGTCATATTGTTTGCTGATAGGGAATTCTTACCCTTTACCTTTTAATCCAGTAAAAATATTCTACACTGGTTAAACCTGACGTTTTGAATGTGCAAATAAACAAATAATCTGAAATGAAAACTCCACTTTTCTTTTCAATGTGTATATTTTCATGTATTTCATCATCCTACAACTTAAAAATGTAATAAATATTAACACTTAAAGCTCTCATTCATCTATATACAAGTACTATACAAAACAGAAATTAGATTAAACCACGTGAGAGACGGCAGACCTGATGCTCTCGCACCTTCTGAAAACCTGCAGCTATTTACAGTATATACAAAAGCACCCAGTTTAACAGCAGATCCAAGCTGAAGAACACAGACTCACACACACAGACTGCAGGCGACGCTTTAGAGCTGGCTGCTGTTGTTTCACAGGTGCGTGTCGTCACACTGATGAACATCAGGAGCACCAGGAGGCGGCGAGAACCACGAGTACACTAGCTTTGTAACTCTTCAGTAGATCGGTGTAGTTCAGCTTCATAAAAATGAGCAAAAGAATATGAAAATATGACTGAAATACATTAATGGCTATGAACAAAATAGAATACAGGCCAGTTTTGTTGTATTAACATTTACATACTATTACAGTATTTTATATTATTTATATATATATTTGAACATATTTCAAATTAACTTTTAAAATATTTTTTTTTTATTTTAATCATTTCATTTTAGTCATTGTAATACTTTTTAAATTTTTTTTTGCCAATTATGATTAAATTTCTCCATCTATTACACACACACATATATATATATATATTTTTTAATTAATATATGGCCTTCCTATTTTATGTTTATTTTTGCAATTGGCATGTGCTGATTGTTTCAAAAATAAAAATAAAAAAATTCATAGTAAAAACGTTTTGCACTAATTTAGTGTAAAAATATCAGAATTTCTGGAAGGCAGGTCAAATAATGAGTTTAACAGAAATTAAAATCCCAATAAAGCTCAAGTTAAGTGCATTGTGGGACACTGTATTAGACACTAAATCAATCACAGGTTTCTGTAATTAATCACATCAAACGGCAAAAGGATTTAAGGAAAATAGTGTTATGTCAATTATATTGAACGTGTTATTTTTCTCAGGTCATTAGGGGATTTTGAAAGTGAAACTGGTCGATCGCAAAACTACACTGGAGTTACAAAGCAAACACACGCATCTAGACTTCAAAATAACACAGCTACGATCTACACGAACGAATAATGACGCACTACAGCCACAAACACGCTGAAGACGCGTCTAGTAGTCTTGAAGACACAAAACAGCACGCATTGAGCCGGAAGCCACTGCATTTCAATAACAGCACCGGTCACGGTTTCTCCCGTTTCCACACACGGAGCAGAGGATTGTGGGTGACGTGGGCTCGTTCTGAGGTAACCAGCAGCTGCTGTGTGATTGGTTAGTGATCATGTGACCGGCGAGTCCCTGGTTTGGCGGGTCGAGGCGAGCGAGTCCTGGATCTGGAGTGCGTCTGGAGGTAGAGATGAGGGACAGGAAGTGCTCTCGTCCGCTTTAGGGCTGGAGGAAGTGAGCCGAGGTCTCCTGCTAGCTGCTTTAGTGGTGTGGACGAGCGGAGCCGCTGTAGACGGAGGTACAGTCGGATCAGGACTCGTTTGAGGCAGAGGAGGGAAGGTGAAATCCGGAAGCCATGAGAAGGGAGGATGAACGTCTGGAGAAAGCGTACTGAAAGCCATCCTCCTGTTACAGGACTCGCAGCAGAGCTTCTGATAACCCGGGATGGAGCAGTAGCGCGCCAGAACCTCCATCTGACAGAAGACCATCCATCCATGTATCTATCTATCCATCTATCTATCCATCCATCCATCTATCTATCCATCCATCCATCCATCCATGTATCTATCTATCTATCTATCTATCTATCTATCTATATATCTATCAACTATCTATCTATC